GGCTAGATTCTCGGCACAGTGCATGTCCCACGCTGCACTGCGCTGGGGCCGGCACCCCTCTCCTGCCCTGGGAACTCCACCCAGGGACTATCAGTTGAATTGGTCTGTTTTGTTCTGTTGTCTTGAGATTTATGAAGGGGGTGCAGGGCCAGGCTCCAGGGCTGCGGGTGCTGGTAGGTTAGAGAGGGTCTAACTTATTGGTGGTCTCCGCCTTTGGACTGTACAGTGGATAGTCTACTTTGAGCCATGGAGTTGGTGTTTACAGTCTTCACTTTTGCCAAAACGTTACAATTGACAGGAGAGGCGGCGCCTCCTGGGGACCCTTTCTCAGAACCTGTCTTTTGTACACTAAGCAGGTGAACCGCCGACTTTTAAAGTCTATAATAAATTTGATGGAATCGAACCCTCTTGTGTTTTGTGTATGTCACTGCAGGATGTGCAGTGGCCCTAAGTGAGGACTTGGCCCAGGGTCCCCTGTGGCCAGGCAGGCAGGCTGGGGTGGCCAGGCACTAGGGCAGACTTGGGCACAAACAGGGTGGGCTCTCCCGCAGCGCCAAGACCCGCAGGTGAGACCTTAACTCCAGCTCCTAAGAAGGATGGGGCGGGAAGATTTCTTGGGCCTGCTTTAAAAACAGCAGATCGCAGCAAGGGTGTTGGGGTCTTGAGCTGGGGTCCGGCCAGCACTCCCGAGGCGCTGGAGCTGAGCAGACAGCAGAGGCTGGCCTTGCACCAGGGCAGTCTGTGAGCATGTTTGTTTTCAAAGGGAAGGGCCGGGGTCAGCCGGCCTCCAGGCCTTGGCCAGACTTCTGAGAGTTCCGAGGCGGCTGAGGAGGCGGAAGGAGAGCCAGGCGGCGCCCTGCGGGCCGCTGTGTACCCACCACCTGGGAACAGCCTGGCCGTGCTCTTCATCCCGTCCCTGGAGCCCTGGTTCCACACACCGCCCAGGCGAAGCGGTCCCTGGCCACAGTCCCCTCCCCCTGGAGGTCCAGGCCGGGGGGCGCTCGGCCCCAGTCCTCCTGTCAGCCTTGCCCAATAAATGTCCCAACTGCACAGTCTTTCTGCCTCAACCTCCCAAATGCTGGGATGGCAGGTTGGCCGGTAGGCAGTATCATTACTTAAACCAGGCTGATCAGTAAATCACCGGTCATTTCTGTTGAAGTACACCCCAAGAGGACAGGACAAGACCAGCGGTCTGGGCCCTCTGCCCATGGGTCCCTGCTTGCATCTGAGCTCCTCTCCGGAGCTTTGCTTTAGGGGATGCCGTGCAATATGCCTGTAGTCCCCCCTTCACAATCTCCTGTTCATACATCAAAACCCTTTCCAACAGCTCCGTCAGGGAATCCTGCCTGGGTCTCTTCACCGGGATGTGCTCAGTCCCCTTTCTGTCCCTTCATATTGGGACTGATTCAGGCTATCTGAAAGGACAAAAAATCTTGACGCCTGCCTACAAAGCGCAGTCCCCCTCCTTCGGGCAGACATTGCGGACGATCCACCTTTTTGGCCCAGCTCCAGCCGTGGAAAGTTCCGCTAGGAGGAGGCAGCTTGTTTTGGAAAGTTCTGGAGGGGCCTCCCCCGCCTGCCCGCCGGGTTCCCACGTTCCTTATCGCTGAGCCTGTCGGGGGAGGCCGCGCTGGCCTGGCCGTGCTGTCCCCTCCCCTTGGCCACGCAGGCCGGCGCCCGGGGCTGGGGGTTGGGAGCAGGCAGGGCGACCCGCGCGCGGCCGAGCTCGGCGGGGACCCCGGGCCCCTCACCCAGCCACGCCCCGCCTCCGACGGTGGCTGTCGCTCATTGGCTGCCGGGTGGTCCCGGTACAACGCGGTTGCGCAGCGAGCCAATGCGCACGGCGCTCGCGCCCGAGGCTGCTTCCGGCCACCTGGGTCCGGGGCACCTCGAACCCTGGGCTGCTCGCCCCGCCCAGCAGGGGGCGTGGCCGGGGCGTGGCCTCGGCGCTTTTCTCCGCTGCCCGCGCGCCCCGGGGCCCCACGCCGTCCGCCTCCGTAGTCCGATCCGACTCGGAGCCGGTGAGTGCGGTCCTGTCCTAGGGCGGAGGGTGGGCTCGCGGGCGGAGGGCCCGCCCTCACCGGCTCTGGCCCGCAGCTCGCCGCGATGGAGCCCGCCGCCCAGATCCTGGTGGACAGCCCGGACGTCGTCTACAGCGCCGAGGCCATCGAGGCTCGCTACGAGTACCGGACGACACGCGTCAGCCGCGAGGGCGGCGTGCTGCGGGTGCGCGCGGGGCGTGGGCGGCGGCGCACACCCGGAGCCCGAGGCCCCGCGACTCACTCCCCACCCGTCCTTAGGTGCAGCCCACGGCTACGCGCTTCACCTTCCGCACCGCCCGGCAGGTGCCCCGGCTCGGGGTCATGCTTGTCGGCTGGGGCGGGAACAACGGCTCCACGCTCACCGCGGCCGTGCTGGCCAACCGGCTGCGCCTGACCTGGCCCACGCGCACGGGTCGCAAGGTGGGGGGGCCCGGGCCGCGGAGCGGGGAGAGGGCGGGGCGGGGCCCGGGGGCGGGGCCGCGAGGTGTGGGTGACGTCATGCCAGGTCGGCAAGAGGGGGCGTGGCCTCGGCCGGCGGTCCCCGCGCGCCGGGCCCCTCCCTGCTCAGCACCCTGCTCCTCTCGTCCCCCCCAGGAAGCGAACTATTACGGCTCGTTGACCCAGGCGGGCACCGTGAACCTGGGTCTAGATGGGAACGGCCGCGAGGTGTTTGCGCCCTTCAGCGCACTGCTGCCCATGGTGGCCCCCAACGACCTGGTGTTTGACGGTGGGCGGAACCTCGGGGTGGGGTGGGGGTAGGTGTGGGAAGGCCCAGGGTAGAGGATGGGTTCAGTGTGAGGGTCCCCACAACCCAGGCTGGGATATCTCGTCACTGAACCTGGCCGAGGCGATGCGGCGCGCACAGGTCCTGGACTGCGGTCTCCAGGAGCAGCTGTGGCCCCACATGGAGAGCCTGCGTCCGCGGCCCTCCGTCTACATTCCGGAGTTCATCGCTGCCAACCAGACAGCACGTGCAGACAACCTCATCCCTGGCACACGCGCGCAGCAGGTGGAGGCCTCGGCCGGCTTCCCCGCTCACTGTCCCGTTACTGGCCCGTGGTCCCCCCTTCCTGTCCCGGGTAATGAGTGGCCCAAGCCCCGGGGGCCTTGGCCGATTCCACCTACTCTCCCCCATCCTTTCCCAGTTGGAGCAGATCCGAAAGGACATTCGAGACTTCCGATCCAGCGCAGGACTGGACAAGGTCATTGTGCTGTGGACCGCCAACACGGAGCGTTTCTGCGAGGTGGTCGCAGGCCGCAATGACACAGCCGAAAACTTGCTGCGGACTATCCAGGTGGGCGCACGCCCAGAATCCTGGGAGTCGAGGCCAGTCCAGAGGGAGCCTTGGCTCACTGCCTCTCTGCCCTCAGCTTGGTCTGGAGGTGTCACCATCCACACTCTTTGCTGTGGCCAGCATCCTGGAGGGCTGCGCCTTCCTCAACGGGTCCCCACAGAACACACTGGTGCCCGGTGCCCTGGAGCTGGCTTCCCAGCGCCATGTGTTCGTGGGTGGGGATGATTTCAAGTCCGGTCAGACGAAGGTCAAGTCTGTTCTGGTGGACTTCCTCATCGGCTCTGGCCTCAAGGTACCCGGGGGCTTCATGAGGTGCCAGAAGGGGGCCAGAAACCTGGGTTGGTGAGGGTACTGCAGAGCCGGGTGCACTTGCATCCATCATGACTCTGTTGACCACACAGACCATGTCCATCGTGAGCTATAACCACCTGGGCAACAACGACGGGCAGAACCTGTCTGCCCCGCTGCAGTTCCGCTCCAAGGAAGTGTCGAAGAGCAGCGTGGTGGACGACATGGTTCAGAGCAACCGTGTGCTCTACGCACCTGGAGAGGAGCCAGACCACTGCGTAGGTGGGGTTGAGGGCGGGCAGGGGCCTCGGTGCGGCATCGTGGGGCTGTGTGACCTGATGAACCTCCACAGGTGGTGATCAAATACGTGCCCTACGTGGGTGACAGCAAGCGTGCCCTGGACGAGTACACCTCGGAGCTGATGCTGGGTGGAACCAACACCCTGGTGCTCCATAACACCTGTGAGGTACGGAGGGCGGGGTCGGGTGTGGTGGGCAGGGTGGGTGTTGGTTCGCCAGACCCTTGTCACGCCTCTCACCAACCCCCACCCAGGACTCGCTCCTGGCGGCGCCCATCATGCTGGACCTAGTACTGCTCACAGAGCTCTGTCAGCGCGTGAACTTCTGCACCGACTTGGACCCTGAGCCTCAGGGCTTCCACCCCGTGCTGTCTCTGCTCAGCTTCCTCTTTAAGGCGCCGCTGGTGCCCCCGGGCAGCCCAGTGGTGAACGCACTCTTCCGACAACGCAGCTGCATCGAGAACATTCTCAGGTGCGCCTGGTGGAGGGCAGGACACGGGCGGCAGGGCAGTCCTGGGGGGCCCTGCTGAGTCCACGCTCTCCCCACAGGGCCTGTGTGGGGCTCCCGCCCCAGAACCACATGCTCTTAGAGCACAAGATGGAGCGCCCAGGCCCGGGCATCAAGCCAGGGGAGATTGCAGCCACCAGCCCACTGCCACAAAAGAACGAGTCCACACCTGCTGCCACCAATGGCTGTACCGGTGATGCCAATGGGCACGCCCAGGCACCGACACCAGAGGTGTCCACTGCTTAAGTCGAGTGATCCTTTCATCCCCAGCCCTTCTCTTACTGTCCCCAAGACCTTGCCAATGAAATAAAGGGTCCCCATCAGGCAGGCCTCCGTGTGGCTTTTTCCAGTTTCAGTGTGTAGCCCTGGCTAGCCTAGAATTTGGTATGTAGCCCAGGCTGGCCTCGAACTCAACCCATCCACTTGCCTCTGCCCAAGTGCCGGGGTTAAAGGCCCGCACCACCAGCCTGGTCCCTGTGCTGACGTGCTAGTCAGTCCCTCAGCTTCACCCCACTCATCTGAGCAGGGACTGAGGCCAAAGCTAACGGTCAAGTGAGGGAAGCCAGCCGTACCAAAAAGACAAAACCAAATGTGTTTATTGGCAGTCCCCCTCCGCCCCAAGCCCTGTGACAGCACATAGGTCCGAAGGCCCGCACTTCTCTGAGGTCCTTGTGCGCGTCTGTGTGCGTGTGCGTGTGCGTGTGCGTGTGCGTGTGCGTGTGTGTGTGTGTGTGTAGAAAATGAGAAAGTCCTTCGTGGGGGCCCTGCTGGCCATCCAGGCTGGGCTGGCCAGGAGTCCGGGTAGCAGAGGCGTGACCCGAGACCTCGCCAGCAGGACACTGGGCTCAGGCCAGGGCTATCACACGCTCATGGTCATGCCGGGGGAGTACTGCAGAGAGAGGGCGGCGCGCGGAGCGCGGCTCAGCTCCGGCCGAGGCTGTGGCCCGCCCTCCCGGGGACAGGGGGAGCCCGGGGAGGGTGGGGAGGAGGGGAAGGTGCCGCGGCCGCCCCCCCACCTGGCCCGCCGCGGTCACGGTCTTGCTCTGGCCCCGCGGCCGCCCCGCCGGGGTCTGCCCGCCAGGCCCCTCCGGCCCGCCGCGGCCGCGGGTGGGGAGTCGACGCAGGCGCTTACGCTTTCGCTCGGGAACGGGTGCAGGAAGGTCCCGGCGGCCGCCATCTCGCTGTCGTCGCGCGGGGTCCCCGGGGCGTTGCTCAGGCCGCCCACGGCGCCGGGGGAGTTCTGGGGGCGGCGCCGGTCAGCGCGGGGGTCCCCTGCCCCAGACCACCTGCCTCCACCCACCCAGCGTGCACGACCTCACCTTCGGCAGCCCGTCCAGCTCGCCCGAGCCTGCGGAGAGACGAGAGGCTCAGGCGCCGGTGCGGAGCTCAGGGACGGGGTACCCCAGGACCTCCCGTTCCCGCAGCCTGGGCCCGGGCGATGGAGGGTGCAGGCGTGGCGGGGCCACCCGAGGGGCTGGGGACAGCGGTCTCTCGGCCGCCCCTCCCGTGGCGTGGAGATCAGGGCACTAGCGGGGCTAGGCGCCCGGGGACCCTCGCAGCCTCCTGTCCCGGCGCCCGGGGGTCACGGTGCCCGCCCACGGCGCCGCGAGGTGGCGCCCGGCCACTCACCCAGGGATCCGTTCACGTGGTGCGGCTCCATCGCGCTCATAGAGGCCATTGGGCCCTCGGGGCCGGGGCCGAGCGGGAACTGCGGGCACAGGGCAGCGTGGGGCTCGGGCCGGCCGCCCCCCGCGGGGTCCCCGTCGGGCGAGGCGCACCGGCCCCCACTCACGTTAGCCCTGCCGGCGCCCGGCCCGATGGGGTTCATGATGGTATACATGTTCTCGCTGGAGTTGGTGGAGTCTGGGGGCGAGAGCAGGGGCCGCGTGGGTGGGCGGGCGCGTGCAATGGGGACCCCGGCCCACTCCAACCCACGTGTTCCTCACCTCCAGGGCTGGGCATGATGGGTGTTCCGGGGGCCCCGCCCCCTCCTGCGGGTCCCTGCACGGAGACAGGGGGACTGTGAGACGTAGCTCGTCTGGCCTGCACCCTGCAGGTCCCACCGCGCACCCGCAGGACTCACCGTGTAGCTGCCAGGAGAGGAGGAAGCGTAGGGAATCTGGGAACAGGCAGGGACAGCTGTGAGCGGCAGGGGCAGGCAGCTGGCCCGAGCCCTCCTTCCCCAGCTCACCCTGCCTGCCACTCACCGAGTTACCGCTGGGACTGGCCCACGGGCCGCGCACCCCCGGACCCCTGGAAGAGATGGGGGCGCTGCAGCAGCCCAGGCGCCCAGGGCCCAGCAACCCGTCATTCCCTAGGGCTAAGTGACACTTTTGGCCTCAATTTCCCCTCCAGACAGTGGAATAAACAATGCCCGAGTTGTCCCTGAATACACGGCCTGCCTCTAGGCTGGGCGACCACGAGCCTGAGGGTAACCTAGGGCCTTACATGTTCATGGATGGCAGGACCTGGCTGGTGGCAAGGGAACTGGGTGGGGGCCGCATGCCAGCTCCATAGCCCTGTCGAGGCAAAGGGTTAGTCAGAAGGAACCCAGGGCGTGGCCCTTCTGTCCCATGGTGGGTTGGGCCACCCCTTACCTGGGGCCCAACACTGGCCATGCCCCTCGGGGGCGTCACCCTCTGCATCGGGGCTCCCAGGCTGGGGTGCCCTGCGCAGACAGGAGGAAGAGGCTCAGGCTTGGGCATTCCCAGGCACGGTCGCCACATCAAGGGCAGTCCGTGGAGCAGCAGCTGGAGTTACTCACCCTGTGTACGCGGGGAGGGGTCCATGGCACCAGGGAGGAGGGGCTGGGAGCCAGGGAGGCCCACAGGAGGCTGTGGAGGGGGCACGGTACTGAGCTGGAGGCAACACCCCCACCAGGTCCTGTCCCCCACCCCGCGCTCTCACCTGGCCTGGCATCCTTAGGGTGGGCCGGGCACCCCCTGGGAACCGCGCAGACATGAAGGGCTGGAAGAGGTGGGATTGAGTCAGCCATCTCCGCTCGTGCTTCCCCAAAGAAGCCCTGCTCTTACTATGCCCGGGGGCAACCTTGCTAGTCTCCTGCCTCAGAGCCAGGTTGCAGACCATAGCCAATTGGCACAGCTGCAGAAGCGGGCAGTGCAAGGTACCAGCGTGTGTGTGTGGGGGGCACCTGACCGCGGGGTTCACCAGCGTGTGTGTGGGGGGGGCACCTGACCGCGGGGTTCACCAGAGTGTGTGGGGGGCACCTGACCGCGGGGTTCACCAGCGTGTGTGGGGGGCACCTGACCGCGGGGTTCACCAGAGTGTGTGGGGGGCACCTGACCGCGGGGTTCACCAGAGTGTGTGGGGGGCACCTGACCGCGGGGTTCACCAGAGTGTGTGGGGGGCACCTGACCGCGGGGTTCACCAACGTGTGGGGGGCACCTGACTGCGGGGTTCACCAACGTGTGGGGGGCACCTGACCGCGGGGTTCACCAGCGTGTGGGGGGCACCTGACCGCGGGGTTCACCACTGTCGCTAGAGATGACAAGGTGCACACGTTCACACCCACTGTGGCGACAGCCCTCCCACCGAATCTGGCCTGCAGCTTGCCCTGCCTCAACTGTGGGGACAAGAGAGCCCCGGGCAGCCGTACCTGAAAGAAGCCTGGCGCCCCGGGACCGGCCCCCATTGCGTCATTAGGGGCCATGGCGCCCATCACAGGGTTGGGGGCCGCCGCACTCTGCAAGGACACGAGACACCGAGGATGGGGTGAGCGCCACAGCAGGTGACTTCCCCTCATCTTTGCAGACAGCCTGGGGACAGCGGTCAGGCCGCCAGACTGGGATGTCAATCAGGACCAGGGAAAGGGGAGGCTGACGTGGAGCAGCCACCCCGACTTCTGCGGCCTGTGGCCTTCTGATGGCGCACACCCCAACTGTGCAGCCAGTCCCCAACCCTCCTTAGACGGACAAGGGCCAGGCTTGACAGGCCACTTCCGCTGCCTGATTCCATTCCGGGAGAGGCCCAAAGTCCGGGAAGGCTGACCTCGGGATGGCCCGTTCCGCTGACCCTGTCCTCACTGCCTTCTCCACAGGTGGAGACCTTCCTGGGTGTCCCTAGACTGCACTGGCTGGCACAGGAACGTCGCGATCTCTGGAATGGGGACAGCCCTCCAGAGCTGAGCCAGGTCTCCCCGATAATGAAAGACAGCAGCCCACAGCGAGAGCACACTCGCGAGGATCCCCAAAATCCTTGCAATCGCGGGTGATTTAGGGGTTGCCATGACCAAAGCTCCCCAGGGTTCCTCGGTGCAGACCGGCCGGGTACTGTGTGTGGGATGGCAGCCTGATCGGGAACCCCACCCCCCGCCCCCGTCAATCATCCCACAGCGACAGCGACGCCCGCCCGCGTTGCCATGACGACGGGCAGGGGCGCGCTAGCGTTTCCAGGAGACGCCAAGGTCGGGGCCGCAGCCGCGGGGCGCCTAAGACCAGTCTGCTCTGGCCCCGCCCTCCGACGCCCACGCTGCTATGGCAACCGGCGCCTAGGGACTGCGGAGCGGAGGCGAGGGCTGCCTACTGTGCCAAAGGGAAACTGAGGCCAGGGAGTTGGCCTTTAACCCCAACACTCCAGAGGCGGAGGCAGAGAGATCTCTGTGAGTTCGAAGCCAGCATGAGCTCCAGAGGATTCCAGGACAACAGGATTATTTAGTGAGACCCTGTCTCAAACAAAAAACGAAACAAAAAATTCCAGGAGCTGGAGAGGCGGCTCAGCAAGACTGGGTAGCTCTGGCAGAGGCCCCAGGTTCAGGTCCCAGCACCCACACGGCAGTCCACAGTAACTCCAGCTCCAGGCATCTGACGCCCTCTCCTGACCCCCACAGGTGCCGGCGTGCACATGGTGTGCAGACAGACTTGCAGGCTTAAAACATTCATACACATAAAATAAAAGTATTTTTAAAAATAATAGAGAGGGGCATGGTGGTGCACTCGGGAGGCAGAGGCGGGCGGGTCTCTGAGGTCAAGGCCAGCCTGGTCTACAGAGGGAGATCGGGAGAGCCAGGGCGACACAGAAACCCTGTCTCGAAACAAACAAACAAAAACAAAAGAGGTGGCCCAGATCCCAGAGCCCGGAGACTCACATAGTCCTGGAAGACTTTGGCCTCACTGGAGTGTTCGCAAACCTCTCTGCGGTCTGGGGCTGCGCAATAAAGGTCCCAGAAGACACTGTGGGCAGCAGAGGGAACGAGGTGACCCCACACCCCCCCAAAGTTCCCGCTTCCCTCCGTCTGCTCTCACGCAGGCACATACCACCACCAAGAGTGCAGGAAGCCAGGGGGCTCGCCCAGCGTGATGTTCTTCTCCCAGCGGATCTACGGCGGAGAGGGTGTGTGAGGGGCAGGTACCCAAGAGGGACAAGCCGGACAATTCAGGGCGACACGGGGTGTCCTGGTAGAGTGGACACTCACCTCGGACAGGAAGGTCTGTGCCGACTTCTGCGCCCCCACATGCAGCAGGTATTCGTATACATACAGCGCGAGCCTGCAGACAGGGTGGGAGATGGTTCAGGTTGTTCAGCAGAGGGCACCCATGGGCCGAGCCCAACACAAGGCCTCGATCAGGTTCCCCAGCCAATCCTCCCCTGCCCCATACTAGATCCTCAGCACTGCCAATCACAGGAAACAGCTTCAGTGACCTGTGTCAGCCAACTCCTATAGATCCAACAACACCCCACCTAAAGGCCCCTCCCAAGGGCCCCATCTTCATCCTTAGTATCCAGTGATAACCATAACTTTCCTTTCCTGTACTCAAGGAGACAGTAATGGCGCCTCTGGGGAGTAGGGAGAGGTGAGGCAGAGGTGTGGCTGACAGAAGGAGGGCCCACAGTGCCACATCCCCGCCACGGGGCCACATGGCGGGTTAGGTCATCCCCCCCAGCCTTCCTTCCGTGGCAGCTCCCATCCCCAGCGTCACCCGCCTGCTGGGCACTGGCTCACGTATATGTTCTCTGGGTGTCCCCACAGGGGCATGAGGACAGAGGGGCATCGGGGAGCTGGAGAAACGGACCTGCAGGGCTCCAGGGGCCTCCCCAGCTGTCCTCACTCTCCCTGGCTGAGGGCCTCATCCTAAAATAATCTGCCTCTGGCTCAGGCCCTGCTCACCCTCACACCCCAGCGTGGCCCCCACTAGCTCATGTCTGTCCCAGGACACACTTGGGGACAAATGCAGGGACCTTGCACGCCCAGCCTGACCCCGTGACTCTGCCCTTCACCTTGACATTCCTTCTCCAACCACCATCTCTCCGCCCATCTGTCCGCCCATCCATCCACTTGTCCCCCCATCTGTCCACTGGTCTGTCCTGGTGCAGTGGCACACCGGCCACCCTCCTAGGGTCCATGCTGTTCTCTCAGACACACACGAGCAGACCTAGGGCCGAGCTGGCAGATGAGAGGCCTGTGTCAGGATCGGGGTGGGCTGGCCCAAGATGAGGGCTGTGCTTGCGACTTGTACCATGTGAGCTGTGTGGGATGGCGGCGTGGCCAGGGTGCCACGCCAGCCCAATCCCCCTCCTGATAGCCAAGAAGGAGCTGTGGCCACCAGAGCCTACCATTCTGTGGCCAGAGACTGAGCTGGGGCCTGATAGGGATGACACAGCTCGGTGATGCCCGGATGCTCACCCCTCGACTACTGTGACGTCATTCTCCACCCTCTTCCCACAGCCTGCCCATCGGTGGCCGGACCCTGCCGGGGCCCCAGAGCCTCCAGCCTTCTCCTTCCCTCTGGTTGGTATTTTCATCCCTGCGGCCCCCCCCCCCCAGCCACCTGCTCCCTGGAAGCTCCCCCACATCCAAAGGGGGCCTCAGGAATTGGGTGTCACGGGTGTGCCCTCTCACCAGAACCCCAATCACAAGACTAGTACAACAGGGAGACCCCATGGACCCAGCCACTGGGGTGGACATGGTCGCTGGAGGGACACAAGGCCAGTCTCCAGTGTGCCCCACTGCCCCTCCCCCATCACGTCTGCCCTGCCGGCTCCAGGCCCCGCTGTCTGAGCTCCAGCTCGGCCCTCGGCTACCACCTGCCTCCCACCCCAAGGCCTCTGCCGAGGCTGTGCCTCCCAGCTCCAGCGTCAACAGTCTGAGGTGTTCCTGCCATACTCAACTTGCCCATGCCCACTCACCCTATTGTCTCTTACAGGTTGGGGGAGGGCACAGCCATGGGTCCTGAGACCCGCACGGTCCTGGGTCAGCCCAGCCCTCAGCTTCCCCAATTCCCTTGCACCAGAAAGCAAGGCCAGGACAAAGCTCAGCGCCCTTCCTGCTGGAAGGGCTGTGTGGCCTGGAGCACAGGCCTGGGCTGTGCGGCGTGGAGAGCTTCATGTGAGCTGGTTCCCAAGGCCCAAAACACCACGGCCACGGCCACCACCATAATTACGGGGGTTCCTGTAAAGGTCACCCTACCAGCACCCCTCAGACAGGCTGCTGGGAGCCGACAATAACACTCCAGTCATCATCTAACCTGTCCCCAGGTCCTGCCAAGGTCTTCAGTGACCCTGTCACCCACAGGCCTTTCTCCCTAGGTGTGGGCCTTAAACAGCACGCTGTCACCTGTGTCAAGAGGAAGGTGGCTGTCCTGTGTCATCCTGAAGGCTGTTCAGAGAAGCCACCTCAACTGCTGGGCAGCACCAGACGGACATGTGCCCATGGCCAATGCTTACACACTTCAACTTACACAGGATCCACTCAGACCCCAGCCTTACCCTTGCCACCCAAATCCAGGGTCCCCACAGCCAGGAAGAGCTACCCGCCTTGGAGCTGGCCACCCATGCTCAGACATGCAGGCCTACGAGACTCTAGTTGCTGAGGGGACAGAGGACAGGGCACAGCAGGCCTGGAAGACGGAGGCCACAAACAGGTGAGTCCAGGGTACAGATGGGGTGACCCCTCACCCCACTTCTCAGAAGAGAAAAATCAGGGCTGGGCCAGTCAGTAATTGAGACTTAGAGGTGGAAGTCCTGAACTCAGAAAGGTCAGCCAACCACAGTGCAGTAAGTAAACTGAGGCAGGGCCACCTGCCTACCCTCTCTATGAGGATCCCACAGGAAAGATGGATGACCGTGCACAGCCATGTGCTGAGAAGAGGCCTGGTTCCCGGGCGCCTCATCTACCAGGACCAGCTCCCACACAGGCCTCCCGCCCATCCCAGCTCCCCGGCTTTGGCTTCAGCCATCCCAAGCCTGGTTGGCCTCTTTGCTGCTCTCCGTGAGCCCCGCAGACCAAATTCACTCTGTTTTTTTCAGACGGCCTTGCTAAGTAGGTGAGCTTGGATGGGAGATCCTCCTGCCTCAGCCTTCTGTATGCACTTTCAAAAACACAAGCCTCCCTGTGGTCCACACTCAACTTCAGGACTTCCGCTAATCCGCAGCCCAGCCGCAGCTCCCTGCCTGCTCCTACCACAGGGCCTTTGCACACACTGAGCCTGCCACCATATCCCTCCCCTTCTCTCCCCCCCTCCCCTTTCAGCCTACCTTGAGGGCCCTTGCTTTCTGAATGTGCATGTCCTCTCACATAGACCCCCCCACCCCCGCCTCATCCATCACCCCCCAACTTAGCACAGGACTACTGACTATGTGAGCTAGTCCCCAGGCTGGGGACTCACCAGGTGTCAGGTGACCCAGTCAGACAGCCCCTGCTTCCCACATGGGCAGCAGCCCGATGTCAGGATGGGTCATTGAGTTTACTGAGCCACAAATGAGGCCTAGTGATAACACAACAGAGGCCTGAGGGGCAGCCTTGCATGGCATCCCCAGTGACCCAGACTTCTCTGTGCAGGGTCATCTGTCCCATAACCAGGACTGGCCGGGCAGCACAGCTTCTGGGTGACCAGCCATGTTCCCACACAGGCCTCTGCACACTCACCTCACCTCCAATTGAGTGTTGGGCCCCCAGCACACTTCAAATGTTCGAATCTTCACCCACTCCCCTGCATGGGCACCCAGGGAAGGAATGCCAGCCCAGGTGGGTGCCCACTGGAAGCCACCTGGGCCACTCATCCTGTATGTCCAACACAGGGCAGTGAGAGCCAGAAACACTCTGGCCCACCCAGGGCTACTGGGTGGTAGCCCCGGACCTGCACGGTCAGACGCGGCCAGAGGCTACACCTTCCCTCCTGCTCTGTGCCCACACCTTTGCCCACAAGTGACAGTGGAGTTCGGCTCAGGTCACACATGCCCATGCAAATCTCACGATCTCCAACACCTCACGTGGCCCCAGGGTCCCTCAACCTCCTAGAATCTGCAGCCACAGCGAACCCTAGGAGTCCCGTTTCAAATCTCCAGCTCGGGGCTTGCATGCATGGGACTCCTGAGCTCTCCGTGAGCCCCATGGTCTCACAGGCCGCCCCTAATGCTCACACCTGTCAGGTCTGTGAGACCCCAGAACCATCGAGGTCTCGCACCCCTCAGATGCCGTGGCTGCCCTGGGCGTCCTGTGACCGCTCTCATCCACGTCCTGCTCTCCCGCTACACCATGGACTCCTTAGAGCTCACAGTCCTCGGACCCCGCACCCCATCCACTGCCGTGTCATCCCAGCATCCCCTTTGGGGTCCTGTCTGACCCCCTGACCTCCTGTCCCCTCAGGTGTCCTGAGACCCCAGGCTCCCTTGGCTCTCCCACGCTGCAATCTCATGCCCTCCGTATTTCACGTGACCCTGAGCCCCTGGAACTCGAGTGCCCCCAATATATTCTGTCCTTTGTGTCTCCCGTGACCCCAAGAGAGCCTCAGGTCTCGCACGCCCACAATCACCCACGCTGGAGGTCTCGCATGACCCCACGAGCCCCTTGACCTCGTGTGTACGCCTGAAATCCCGCTCCATTCTGATCTCCAGCAACTCCACGAGCCCTCTGGATCTCGTGTGTCCCCCTGAAATCCCGCACCCTTCTGGTCTCGCGTGACACCACGGCCCCCGGTCCTGCGTGGCCCCCGCGCCGCGCACTCACTTCTCGCGCGCCTGGCCGTCCGAGGGCGCGCAGCCCTTGCCCGCTTTGCCGTACATGCTCCGCACCTGTCAGGCGCGCATGGCCATCGCTGCCCGCGCCCCGGGCCCCGCAGCCATGTCCGCGCGGGAGCTGCGGCCGCGGGTGGGTTCTAGCAGCGCTGCCCTCCGCGGGCTGTTCCGGGAAGCGCGCCACCGCCGCCGCGCGCTCCCGCCGCTCTTAAAGCGGCAACGGCGGGCGCGCGGGTGGGCCCAGCGCTGGGAGCGCGCACGCGCAGAGCCGCGGGGGCGGCACTGCCCACCATCGGGTTGCGCGCGACTTAGCCGCGGCTACTGTACCTCTCGCAGACACCCACGCGGGAGACACGCTCTAGAGCTGCCATGTCTGAAAATCGGGAAGCTGAGGCAGGAGGATGACTGCGAGTTCCAGGCCCACCAAGGCTGTGGAACGAGACTCCCAGTTGCACATACTCGCGGGGCTGTGGGTATCTCGGCTTCGACTCGGGACGTGCACCGGTCTCCTGACCTCAAAGTGCATGCGTCCACAACATTCTGCACCTCGGACACACACGGCGAGCCCACATGCAGCGCGGCCAGCTGTGAGGATCCATCTTTTTCTTTTGAGAGGGTTTCACATAGTTCAGGCTGGCCTCGAACTAATTAAGCAGCAGAGGACGCGACATCGAACGTTGGATCCTGCCTCAGCCTCCCTGCTGCCGAGATGACAGGCGTGCACCGGTTAGCCTGGGTGGATGGAACCCGGGGCTTTGTGCATGCCGGTGCTGGGCCGACCGAGCCCCAGTCCAACCACAGTTCGATGCCAGCCTGTTCTACTCAGCGAGTTACGAGACAAAAGGATGCAGAGTGAGACCCTGTCTCAAAAGTCGGATCCAAACAACACAATGTCTCATGTAGCCCAGGCTGTCCTCCAACTCCCTATGTCAGTAAGGCTATCACTGAACTGGTGATCCTCCTGCCTCCAACTCTGGAGGACTGGGGTGGTACGCGTGCTCGCTGGGCCGAGGGCGTGCTTCCCCCTCCGCCCGCGCGCACGCGCACAGAGCGCACGTGTGGTCGTGGCACATGGGAGTCAGGAGGCGTGCAGGCGAATGCTCGCTGTCCCTGCAAGTGTCCCCGGTTGGGCAGCGACCGTTTTGGGGGGGACAAGTAGGAGACTTGCCCCAAGTATGTCTTCAGCTCCTGGAACCTCGCATGGCGCAGTCATGGGCGCAGGTTTCCTGTTGGACGTGTGTGTGTGTGTGTGGTGGTGTGACAGCCTGCAGGTCACCGTGGCCCTGTGTCGTGCGCGGTGTCCCGGATGCAGGCAGATCCCCTTGTCCGGGCCTCCCCGCCCCCACCCTGGCCGGCGGGCGGGAAGCCGAGACGAGGAGGTTCCAGGAGCGCAGGAAAGGCTGCCCAGGCGCGCCCCGCCTCCTCCCCCAGGGCTCAGCTGGGCGGACGCCGGCCTTTCCCATTTCCTGCCAGGCCCGCCGCCCCCTCCCCCAGCTCCCTCTCCCCGCCGCGGGGCTGGCGACTGTGGGGTGCCTGCAAGGCCGTCGGGGAGCCTGGGCCCCCGAGGACAGCAGAGCTTTGCAGCCTCTGCTCTTGGCGAGGTACAAAGAGGGTGCGAGTACCCGGATGAACAGGTTCCTTCCACCTCCATCTATGTCCCCAACGCTGCCCAGGACGCCCGGTGTCCCCTTCCTCAGCCAGATCTGTGATTAAGTGTCTTCACCCACCCCCGGAGCCATTTATTGAGCGCCTGCTGTCTACGGGGCTCTGGGGACCCAGTGGGGACACTTCGCTACGACTCCTGGAGCAGAGAGTCCGCTGCGGAAAACTGGCGACACAAGCTGGGCAGAGGGAGGGGGGGACCGGCGGCGGCGAGGCCTGCGGGGCTCCCGGAGGAGGGTGGAGGCGGGCGCAGGAAGGAGGGAGCAGCGAGGCGGGGGCGCCCGCAGACCTGCAGGCAGCGGGGGAGGCTCGCGGGCGGGAGCGCCTGCACCGTCGTCATGGCAACCGAGGCGCTCCCAAACACAGCCCGGGAGTCGGGGGAGCTGAGCACGCAGGACACACACACCCAGTTCGGGCACAGCCAGGGGCCCGCCCGAGCGAGAGAGGACGGGAAGAAGGGTTGGCACCGAAGGGCGGGCAGGAGTGCTCAGAGGGGTCACAGCCCGGCCAGCGGCCCTGGGGTGCTGGGGGCCGCGGAGCAGGGTCGGCGGAAGGACCGAGCAGCGGCCCGGCTCTCCGTAGCGGGGGTGAGATTTATTTCAAGAGCCACCGTGAGAGGCTGGTGCTGGGCTTAGAAAACTATCCCTCGGGCCGGCGAGATGGCTCAGCCGGTAAAGGCGCTTACCACCAGGCTCGACGGCCTGAGTTCAACCCCCGGGACCCATATGGTGGAATGTGCTGACTAATCTTGTGACTTCCACACGCACAATGGCGCCTGTGCTCACACGCAGACACAATAAGTAGGTAAACGTCAAATAAAGCGATTCCCTTAAGTAGTGATGCGGCGGCGGGCGGGAGGCGTTTGAAGCCTGATCCCTTTTCTCTCGGGTCTGGTAGGGACAAGATCGCCTGCTTCCGCAAGCGGGCCGGGCTCTGCAAACTAGACCCTGCTCCCCAAAGCGCGCGGAGGGCCTGGCCTGCGATCCTGGCTCCCAGAGGAAAGACGGGCCCTGGAGGCTACATCTTCTTTCTTTCCTTGAGCCTCCTGCCCGCGGCCGCCGGGTCCAGCCGAAGAGCGGGCTCCGCCGCGCCCCCGTGTGGAGGGCAGCGGCACTGCGGGGCGCTCGGCGCTCCTCCCTCCTCCTCCGCCCTCCTCCGCCCTGTCCCCAGCCTTCCCTGCCCCCTCTAGATTTCCACAAACGCCTTGGTTGCCGCTATAATTGACGGCTGGTGCGCCCCACGCCCGGGACACAGCGCAGGGGAGCGGAACCGTGTGGACCCCGCGCCCGCACCCGCCGGCCACAGCCCCGCCCAGCTGTGCGTAGGAGGCGGCACAGCTGGAGCGCGGCTGTACTCGGAGACTGTTTCCTCTCCGCAGCTGTAATTATGGGTAATTTTCTAAGTGCAACACAAAAATTAAAACCCAAACACCACCGGGAAGGGAGCAGCCGCAGCTGCTGCTCGCGATGAGCTCGGGCTGCAGAGGGGGCTTGGGCCTGGGGTAGAGGGAGGACGGAGACCCAGGGCGGCCTGTCCATCAGCCTCTCCGGGTGCAGGGCTCCGAAAGTCGAAGTACTGTGGACAGGAACTTGTGTGACCCGCGGTGTGGCCGCGTTCAGGTGCCCAGCGGCCCCTCTGCCCTCTCCGAGCCACTGGGTCAGGCCCCGGCCTGCGAGCGGCGGGGGAGGAAGCCGAAGAGGTCGCCCTCGCCAGACGGCAGCCCAGCAGGCAGGCTTCCCCTGGGGCTCCCACTGCCGGCCCTCGCCCTGCCACACCAATCCCGGGACCACTGCGGGGCAGGGAGACCCTTCTGGTCCGTTCCACCCGACCTCGGATCCTCAATTCAGCCCCAGGCACAGGGCTTCACTGTTTAGCTGAGTCCTCCCAGCAGTGATGGTACAGTTTGTTCTGGGAAGAAAAGGCGGGGGTCACAGTGACAAAGCAACCTGCCTGAGGATGCACAGCAGGGACCAGACACCGGATGCTCCTTTAGGGGTGTGTTGGTAATGCATGCCCCCCTCACATCCTCTCATTTCGTGTGAGAAGCCTCAATAAGTATGTGCCGGGCAGAACCAGCTCCGCTTCTCTCCTGAACCCCAGGGGCCTGGGTTTCCTCAAGACTGTCGGGTTTCCTGCTCCCTCAAAACAGCTGTGGTTCCAGATGCGGCCAAGCGATGGCAGTAGAGGAAGACGCGGGCCGCCAAAGGGACCCTGGGCCTCGCGCATGCGCCCACGCGGGCTTCCAAACAGACATTTACATATTTATGCCAAACTGAGAGGTTGCGTAGGTCTCTGGAATGCTCCATCTCCTGCCTCAGGTTATGAGAGCTGGGATCGCAAGCCAGCCAGCGCCACCAGCCTGGCTTAATTAGGTGTCTTCGGAGGCTGGAGAGATGCCTCGGTGGTTAAGAGCACTGGCTGTTCTTATAGAGGACCTGGGTTCAATTCTCACCACCCACCCGTGATGGCTGATAACTGTTGTTAATTCCAAAGATGGGAGGAGAAAGACCACTGACCCAGACCATCATGGCCAAATTAATTAAAGCAATTAAATAGCCGGGCGGTGATGGCGCACGCCTTTAATCCCAGCACTCGGGAGGCAGAGCCAGGTGGATCTCTGTGAGTTTGAGGCCAGCCTGGGCTACCAAGTGAGTCCCAGGAAAGGCGCAAAGCTACACAGAGAAACCCTGTCTCGAAAAACCAAAAAAAAAAAAAAAAAAAAAAAAAGCAATTAAATAAAACAAGATTTTTATTCCTGTACACTGGCTGCCTCCCCCTAAGGCGGGATTGCAGAGGTCAGCGCTGGATGTGTGGAAGATGTAGCTCTTATAGCTCAGGGGTAGGGACATGATTGCCATCCCGGAACAGGCGGTACAGATCCGTTTGTAGTTAAGGTTACAGGTGGGGCACAGGGCAATCCTTGAGAAACAGGTTCAATTATAAGCAGGAATGAGCCTAGTTTGTCTTTACCATAAGATGGATTTTAAGCCCAAGATGGAGGCAGGCTTCTCTTCCTTCCTCCCTTCTCTTACATGTCCCTGTCAACAGCATTCTTTATCTGCGGGACTTGGGGGACGCAAAATTTGTAATGCAGCAGAAGATGCAATGCTCATCCATAAATTACACCTGTTTGCTTAGGACAGACAGAACAGACATTTTCAGGCCATATAATCTTGGTATGCCAATGAGTTCTACATGTAGCCATTTAGTCCCCTTTGCAAGGGAGTTTCCTTGCAGCTAATATTCCAGC